ATCCATCCATCCATTCATTCATTCATTCATTCATTCATTCATTCATTCATTCATTCATTCATATACACATCTATGTATAATATCTTTATTTTGCGCCCTACCCAAAATCATTACCCCTCAACCCTATCAAGCCTGAGCCCTAAACCGTAAAACGTAAGCCATACTCTTACCCCAACCCCTTAATTCAAAAACTACACCCAAAACCCGATATCCTAAGCCCTGAACCCTAGAACCCTGGCCTAAACCCCAAGTCAGGTGCATGGGCTTCCCCTACATCCCGAAAACCCCAAACCCTAAAACCCCATAAACCCTGAGCCCTATACCCTAATTCCGAAGCCCCCTAAACCCTAAAACCGAAACCCTAAGCCCTAAACCCTAAACTCTAGAAGAGTCAGCCTAAACCCGAGAAGAGTCAGGTGCATGGACTTCCGGCCTTGGCAATGCTTTGGTTCCATGGGCCCAGCCTTGGCACCTCAGCTAAGCTCTGACTCGGAAGGGGACTTTGCAGTTTAGGGCTTTAGGGTAGGGTTTAGGGTTTAGGGTTTAGGCCGTACAGCTTAATTTGGGGGCCTTAAGAATTAGAGTAGGGTTTAGGGGTATAGTATACTATAATGATAACCTTAATAATTAGAGTAGGGTTTAGGGGTATAGTACACTAAATGATAAAAAGGAACCCCCCAAACTTTATTAAAACTATTAAGGTCTCTACATTAGGGCCTTCAGGCCTTGAGCCCTAGGGTCGCTGTAAGGGTTTAGGGGGTTTGGGGTTTTGGGGTGTTTAAGGCTTCAAAGCCTAGGGTTGTGGGTTTCGGGTTAGGGTCGAGGCTTTAAACTTTGGTAAGGGTCTGGGGGGTTTGGGGTTTATCGGGTTTAGGGCTTCAGGTTTGGGGTTTTGAGTTGATATAGGGTTTAAGGTACGGGAAAAGCTGTGTTTAACTAGGGTGTTCCGGGTTTCGTGGCTGCTGTAAGAACCGTTGGTTCCTTGTTAGTGCCGGTAGGCGTCTATTTATATGATTATACTCGGGGTCCTAGTTGATCAGGGCTCTGCATGGTCTGGGGCTCCAGAGTAGACACTATGCAAAGACGGTTGACCGCGAGGTAGGTACTATTATGAAGGCTTTGCACATGTAATATAGGGGCCTAAGTAATTACCAATACTGTACTATTTTGGGGGGTTCCTTATCATATTCATAGTAGAATATACCCGAAACCTTGTTCTAATTATTAGGGCCCCTACATTAGGGTTTGCTGGCTTCGGGTTCTTTCTTATAGGGCCTGCAGCTTTTACGGTGAGGGATCCTGAGCATATGGCTTTATGAGACGCGCGAACTCTCGATGCGCGTAAAGGGCGCGGTATTTCAGTGGGCTTATACCACAGACCTTGAAGGAGCCATCGGTGTCCGGTGTCCTAGCTGGGGTTATCCTGACTATTTACTATTTCCCCATTCACCACTTGCTTTTCTACCCCGGATTCACACCGAAACCCTCATCACAACTTCGTCCAATCGCACACCTTCCTTGTGCAGTCGCCCCCCTAGGCCTCACAGTGCCGATGGCCGCGGGGCCCGTCTCCGCTGGCGCAGCCGCCGCAGCGCAGCGCAGCTGCAATGGAGCTCACACTTCCCAATGATCCCAAGTTTCAGTTTTGGGGTTGTCTTGTAGTGTATTATAGCATGCTAGACTATATCACTGTCTATTGTAGTATGTCATAGTCTATGCTGGTTTATTATGGTATGTTATGTGGTTTTGGAGTCTGTACAACAATCAGGAACACTACGCCCTTGCTGTTCCATCCTTGCCCGTTTAAGGTTATACAAAAATATCCCATAGCCCAGTTTTCATTTAACCAGGCCCCTACACGTGCGGATTCAACATTGCTTTAGTCGGTAGCTTTTAGGCTTCAGCAAATTGAACGTGATGCAGATATTTACAACTATGTGCCCTAGCTTCCTAAGCTCCTAAAGCCTAAACCCTGAACCGGAGCCGTAGGGTAGAAGAAACTCCCAAACCCTGCTCGAAGCAGTCAGCACTGGAAGAAGGAGCAAGAGGAGCCCTAGCTATGAGTCTGAGTACCCCAAACCCCAAACCCTAAAGCCCTAAACCCCAAACCCTAAACCCCTCAACCCTAAAACCTACCCAGTCAAGTAGCTAACGCTTATAAGTGTTCATTGTCCGAGGTAGAAATATGCAATACTGCTCAGAGCTAGCGACGAAGCTCGGCTAAGTCCGCAAACCTCTGCAGCCTAAACCCATCTCCAAACTCAACAAGCGAAACAACGACTCAACGACAACGGGGGCAGCCTTTCTCGTGCAAAGACTTTCACAGGTCAGGAAGTTCGAAAATATGATTCCCGCACCCCCCCGGGCCACCTTAGGTTAGTTCGATCAATGATAAAAAATAGCCAGGAAACCTAGCCTTTGAGGGTCTCCGTAGGGCAGCAGACT